TTAGAAGGAAGGCATATGTGCTCGTAGTCTTTATTAAGTGTTTGAGGACTGACGATGGATGAGAATATACCAATGATGAATTTAATAACTTCTGTCAACATGAATGCATTAAAAGGCAGTTCACAACAGCATACACTTCATAATAAAATGAAGTGGCATAGCGGATAAACAAAACTCTATTGGAAATAATAAGAGCAATGTTGAAGGCTGCAATTCCAGAAAAGTTATTTTAGGCAGAAGTAGTCAATACCACCTGTTATGTGATAAATTGATCTCCATCAACTGCAATTGAGCTGAAGACACCGATGGAGATGTGGATTGAAAAGCTAGCTGATTATTCTCGATTGTATATATTTAGAAGTCTTGTGTACGTGATGTCTCAAGAAGTCAGTAAGCTGGATTTAAAATCCAGAAAATATGTATTATTGGGATATGCTGATAGAGTGAAGATACCGTTTGTGGGATCCTACTGCCCACAAGGTAGTCATAAATAAAGATGCCATATTTATAGAAGATAAAATGCAAATGGAAGAACATAATAACATTTTAAAAGAGACTATAATAGTCCAGATAGAAAATACTCAGAATCATATTTCTTTTGAAGCTACATCAGAGCATGAAGAACAATAAAAAATAGAGTCTAAAACTCCTAAAGTTCGACGGTCAACTCGTGAAAGAAGACCATCAGCTTGACACTTAGACTATATTAATAAGAGAAAAATTACATACTATCTTTTAACAGGCGATGAATAGCTATTAACTTTTTATGAGGCTATTAAAAGCACATATGTATCCCTATGGATAATAGCAACGTAAGAGGAGTTTGAAGCTCTACACAAGAATAACACTTGGGATCTTGTTCCTCTACTACAAGGAAGGAATGTCATTGGCAACAAATAGGTTTACAAGATAAAATGCAATGACAATGATCAAGTGTAGTGGTATCGTGCAAGATTGGTGGTGAAAGGATATGCTCAGAAAGAAAGAATAGACTTCAATGAAATATTTTTTTCCGGTAGTACGACTTACCATAATCAAAGTAGTCTTGGTGATGTATGTTATATTTAATCTTCACTTAAAGCAGTTAGATGTGAAAACTACATTTTTTCATAGAGAAATTGAAGAAGAAATTTATATGCTCTAACCAGAGGGTTTTGTTGAAACAGGCAAGGAGAACTTGGTTTGCAGGTTGAACAAATCCTTAAATGATCTCAAACAGGTGTCGAGGTGTTGGTATAAGAGATTTGATTCCTTTATAATTAGCTTTGGTTACAATAGACTCAGTTAAGACCATTGTACGTATTACAAGAGGTTTGAAGAAGATAATGATTTCATCATTTTGTTATTGTACATGGATGACATGTTGGTAATAGGCCTCAATAAATTTTAAGTCCAAGAATTGAAGACACAGTTGACAAGAAAGTTTGATATGAAGGACTTGAGATTAACAGACAAGATTCTAGGCATGTACTAAAACAAAAGTAAGAGGAAGATTTGACTTTCTTAGAAGACTTATTTGAAGAAAATCTTGTAACTTTTTAACATGAAAGATTGTAAGCCAATTTCCACCCTACTTCTTATTAACTTTAAATTATCCTCAAGTATGTCTTTTAGCAATGAAGCAGAGAGGATGAAGATGTCTCGAGTATCGTATGCATCAACAATGAGAAGTTTGATGTTTGTTGTGATATAAACAAGACCAGACATTATACAGATAGTAGGAGTAGTTAATTGATACATGACAAATCCTGGTAAAGAGCATTAGAATACCATTAAAAGGATCTTGAGATACATCAAAGATACCTTGTATTAGAATACCATTAAGAGGATCTTGAGATACATCAAAGATACCTTAGATGACGTATTATGTTATAGAGGATTAGAATTTACCTATCAGAGGTTATGTTAATTCAGATTTTACCTCAAATCTTGGCTTGTACTCACTGGTTAGATTCTTAATCACATATTAGTTATCAAATATCGTTTAAGGAAATACGTTTTGTTTTTTAATTGATTGGAAGTGTAAGATTTTGCTTTAGGGGCATTAATGACATGCTAAAGGGTAAATAACATAATGAAAGATGGTGTATTTTGAAATTTGAGTTGAAATATCTGAGATCATTTGTCGTTGCTGTGTTAAAGCAAGAGAGAATAAATTAATAGATCATGATTTGTTAGGCGTTTTAATTTCTGAAAAAGTTATGATTTAATATAATTTTAGTTTTTTTTCCAGAAAACTAATTTAATTTTCTTCGTTATTCTTAGGACTAGTGATCTATCAGCAGCAGAGTAACCTTATGACCATTGTTACAAATCCTTGCTAGTTTAAAATATCAGACTGGTTTTTAAATAGGCAGAAGGATTACACGGATGGGAAGTATTCTCAGGTCGTGTTAAATGCATTGAACATGAAGTTGAGAGATGATTTGGAGTGTTTGAAGAAGATTCAATAATTTCTTGTTTGCTATGTTTTTATATAAACTAATTTATATAGGATCAAGTGTATTCACTAAAAACATGTTTAGCTTTTTAGATTTTTTAAATTATCTTGTCATTCAAATTACTATTTGCTTCTGCCATGTTGAACTGAAATTAATTTTAGTATTTAGTAGGTTTTCATCATTTGTATGTGATGAAGTCGTGCAAAACTGCATATAAGAATTGGGTTTTCAATGGCGTTTCTTGGGCTGGCAGAGTGGTCTTAACCTTGGTCTAGTTGTTGTTCACGTGAAAAAACAAGTTCCTTATAGGAATTAGGGACCTTTCAATACTTAAGTTAGTAATTGCAGAAGCAAAAAATAATACACGCGAAGGAAAATAATATGAGGAGCAGTTTAATTGTTGATGGTAAAGAGAGACATCAAGATGTTGATTGTTGTTATTGTCATTGGCTGTGATATTTTACTATTCTATTGGTGGAGATGTTAGTGTTTGTCGTGGTGTTTTGAGCAATTGGTGGAGAGGGTGGCTAGCTATTGTAGGCATGAAAAGTAGACACAAGAGACTGACTACCATGTGAAAGATGACCGCTATAGTCTCATAAAGTAGTAATGTTGTAATTGGCATAGAAATGTGGTGTTGCCTTGAAGAATTATGTGTGGGGACTTATTGGGAACTAAAAAAAGCATAGATGTATATGCTAGGGTAAGATTGGATAGCCCGAGGTGAGTTGAGATTGAGCGAGGGGCTTGAAATACTAAGATTTTAGTTGTTTGAGCTTGATCTGAATGACTAGAAGGTCTAGCTGCTAGGGTCAAACCCAAACAGTTAGAGAGTTCAACCATTTAGGCGTGACTCAAATGGATAGCGAGTGAGTCACTTGTCACCTTGGGGCAGCACATGTGGTCCACTTTGAACAATAATAATGACTTTCCATGATGTGTCCTAAATTACTTTTATTGGGATGTTTTTAATGATATTGAAATTGTTGTCATGGGAGGTGGAGTTTATCTTTGGTGCCTCATTCTTTTTGTTTCCCATTCGTTTTTTTTCTTTCTCTCTCTCCCTGCCATTGTTGTTGGTGCCAACTCATTTCTTTGCTCATCTTTTCTAGCTGTAGGATCGTCTTTGTTTCCCCTGTGGTCATTGGATCTTCGTACTCCTTTAGGCTGTCAAATGTTCATTATAATTCATGGGAAGGGAAGAAATGCACATTTTGGGCGTGGGACATGCACATCTGGGTAGAAATCTGGCCAGCATTCCTACCCGTTTAGGCTGGCCATGTGGCTGGAGAACTTTTTTTAAAATCTTTCTTGCACCATCTTACAACTCATTTTTAATGTTAATGTCAAATAGCTGTAATGCCACTCCATGTGTAATTTTCTTGAGGGAAATGCATCTCTGTTAAAGGCTTAGGTGATAAAGTTAGTACCCTGAGCCTGTTGGATGGCCTTGATGAAACTTACTATCACTGAAACATAATCCTGCGATCTGATTCGAACCTCGTAATGCAGGAACCACCGCGTTCTGAGGCACTACTGGGATCTTATTGTCAGGGGTCAGCACACAGACTACTGGCCGCCGTGGAGAGACTGTTGGTGTCTCGAGGAAGCGCTGAGCATGTAATTGCAGCATTGAACAAATATTTTATACATGGCTTGGCCGAAACCTGCCCCTCATGTTTGTGGTAGACTAGTCTAGAAGTGATATTGTCATATTGGAAAGGTTTTTATTTTCATGACCTCCATGTCTATTTGAATCGGTGTCAAATTCTTATTTCATTATGTGAGAAAGATGCCCTCACTTGCATCTACTTTCAGATTTCTGCATATTGCTGCTCTTTCTTTTCCTTTCCTTTCCTTTTTGATTTTGTAATTTTTTGAGTGAGCTTCTGGATATTCATTCTTGCTTCGGCGTTCCATGGAACGCAGCTTCGAAGTGTTATTTTAGACAACCGAAGGGCACTTGTGGTCTTGCAGTGGAAAAGGTGCGCATGAACCATATTTTTGGAGCTGCTACGGGCATGGAGATGGATTGGTTAATGTCTCGAGAAGAAAAATTAATTTTTAAAACAGATTTAGTTTATATTTTTTTTCTTTCCGACTAAATTTTTTTCTAAGCATGCCTTTAAAGAATCTTGTTCTCATTTTTTGCTTTTAAAATTAGGATTTTCGATGACCAATTTTTTTTTAACTTTTAGGTGTAAGAATGCTATCCATTAGTTTTTACATCAAATCTAAATTATTTTTCAAACATGCAATCATAAATATATAGTATATAATTCATACTTAATAGCTTTTTTATAACTTAATTGTGTTTGTTTTTAAAATAATTTTTATGTTATAATATATATTAATAGTATTTTTTTATTTTTTAAAATTTATTTTGATATTATTATATTAAAATGACATAAAAATAATAAAATTATATTAATTTAAAAAATAAAAAATAAATTATTTTAATTTATTTTTTCGGACTCCTGCGTTGCATTCGAATCCCAATTAACAGCAATGATTACTTATTTTGACTAATATATATATATATATATATATATATATATATATATATATATAAAAGCATATATGCAGGGAAGCAAACGTCCGCGTTATGAGTTGCTGGCTTGGCTTGCTTCCTCCTGCCTGCTGAAAACACCATTCCCCACCGCCCCACGACTCTTACATTTCGCAACAGAATTTCACTTCCTCCCCCCCCTCTCTCTCGGAATCTTGAGGACTCTTTTGAACAACAAAAAAAAAACATTACAGAGTACCTTCCAAAGCAAAGAAAAAACAGAGTAACTGCAAATTGCTTCAAACGCACATCATAACGCCCTCCTCTCCTCCATAATTCCTTCTCTCCGTTTCACTCTTCTTGAGCTACTACGGTACGCACATTTTTCTGCACACCGTAAAAAAAAGTGACTTTAATCGTGATTTTGTTTTCTACGATCTGTTGCAGTGATTGTTGGATTATGTTGCGATCTTAAAAATAATAACGTAATACAGATCTGAGTTTATAGAATTTTCGTAGTTTTCCCATGATTTACCTGAGATCTGCCCTCTATGATTTGATCTCAGCATTGTTTGATTATTACCCTTTGATTCTTTCTGTTAAGGAAATTGATTAACGATTTTAGTTAAACTATCAGTTTCCATTGTAATTATAAAATAGCTCGCTTTTGTCTGTCGTTTTTTTATATATAAAAATTCTTAGGTTAATTTAGTTAAACCCTAAGTAGAGAGAGCTTAATTTAGGAGGAGGAGGAAGAGTGAGTGTTTGCTAACTTACGTGTTAACCACAATTTTGATTTCCATCCGTTCTTGATGTTTGCAGAGAAGCGTGTTGCTGGCTGGTCATTGTGATGTGGATGGGGTTAGTTTTAGAGGCTGAAGGGTAAGCGTTTGAAGGCGTTTCAAAATTTAAGTTTTGAGAAGTAAATTAGGATGGCTCCATCTAGCAGCAAGGCAAATAAAAAGGGAGCTGCCGATGCGGCTGCCTGGATGTTCAATGTTGTCACTTCTGTTGGGATTATCATTGTCAATAAAGCCTTAATGGCTACTTATGGTTTTAGTTATGGTGAGCTTGTTTCTCATGCTCTTTTTTTTCTTTTATTTGTTTGTACGTTTATGAGGTTTTCGTAGTTTGAAGTTTCCTTTTTTATGGTTTCTTGCAGCTACAACGTTAACTGGTATGCATTTTGCTACCACAACTTTGATGACTGGTGTTTTAAGGTGGTTGGGTTACATCCAAGCCTCTCATCTACCCTACCCTGAGCTTTTGAAATTTGTTTTCTTTGCAAACTTCTCAATTGTTGGAATGAACGTTAGTCTAATGTGGAATTCAGTGGGATTTTATCAGGTAAATGTTGTTTTGCTGTGTTTTGGCAGTTGGTTATTGCAATAATGTTACTCACATGTTTATTTTAAATGTCAGATTGCAAAGCTGACTATGATTCCTGTATCCTGCCTTTTGGAAGTGTTGTTTGACAAGATTCGGTACTCACGAGACACAAAGCTGAGTATAGGAGTTGTTTTGTTGGGCGTTGGTGTTTGCACTGTCACTGATGTGAGTGTTAATGCCAAAGGTTTCATTGCTGCCTTTATTGCAGTCTGGAGCACTTCGCTGCAACAGTATGTAAGTGTTTATGAACATCTATTTGTTTACATGTGTTATCCTATTCCATTTCAATTTAAAGAAGCTTATTCATTGTAAGTTGCAAAGCTAACTAATCAAGCTCGTTAAAATGATTCATTGAGAAGTAACTCCTCTAATAACTCTGTTGAATCATTTACTTGCAGTATGTACATTACCTCCAAAGGAAGTATTCACTGAGTTCTTTCAACCTACTGGGTCACACTGCTCCAGCCCAGGCTGCAACACTGCTATTATTAGGCCCCTTTTTGGACTACTGGTTGACAAACAAAAGAATTGATACCTATGACTATAGTGCGGTCTCTGTGGTAAGATAGCCAGCAAAATTTGACTTATGTTTTTTCAATAATCATCTTCATGATTTTGCTACAATCTGGATACATCTGTCATTCTTGCATATTATTATGCATGCTGTAGAGTAGCTGAGATTTTTGTACCGTATGTTTGCTTAGGGATCGCATGAACATGCCTTATAGATGCATCTGCACTTCTAGTTGTCTACATAGCTGTGGACACATGGCTTGTCATTGTGATCTCCAGATGTGCCTATATGGTTGCTCATGTTTACATTTGCACTTGAATAAGTTCTTGCCTTGTGCACTCCAATTTGAACGTCGGCACACAAGGTGGAATGATTTGGCTATGTTGGGATTTACAATTGAGGCAGCCAATTTGAAAGGGCAGAAAACTATGAAGTCCTCGATGCAGTTTAATATATGTGTGATTAGGACTTAAAAGCTAACTGGATGCATTTTCTTAACAAGAAAAGTTAAACAGTGAGGAAGAAGCAACCCTGATCTGTGCTGTGAAAAATTTCTAGTCTGGCCGTGCTCTTAAAAAGTATAATATTAGTTTCACCTCTCCATTTTCTGCAATCAAGTCTGGCGATGACTTTAATCTCACATACAAGTTATGCTGCTGCTTATTTTTTATGGTTCCTGTTTGCATTAACTCGTGTGTTTGCTGTTCCATTTTACATGGCAGTGTTGCTTTGCATAATGTTGTACATGAATGCCTTTTATTTTCTTATAAAAGGCCGATGGCAATTTTTTCCTACTTTCTTTACCTACTAGTGTTTGTGTGTTCGAGCATGATTTTCTTACCTGAGTTTACAGAACCCCGTCTCACATTTTCTCTGAATCTTGGTCTCTGCAGATGTTTATTGTTATATCATGCACCATTGCGGTAGGGACCAACTTAAGCCAGTTCATCTGCATAGGCAGATTCACAGCTGTGTCCTTTCAAGTACTTGGTCATATGAAGACGATCCTTGTGCTGATAATGGGATTCTTTTTCTTTGGAAAAGATGGTCTTAATCTACATGTGGTTCTGGGCATGATCATAGCCGTAGTTGGGATGATTTGGTATGGCAACGCCTCATCTAAGCCTGGAGGTAAGGAGCGCTGGAGCCTCTCGCTACCTACAAACAGACCACAAAAACAAAGTAATTTGTCAGAATCCGATGAACATGATGGGAAAGTCTAAGCGTTTATGTAGGATAAATTAAGCATACAAGGGTAGCTAATTCCAGGAACTTTTAATCATTTGAGATTAGAAAACCTTGCCATTCAATTCTAATTCTTTCTTCTTGATTCTGTAATTCTTATTTTGCTTTTATTTGTATTGGATCCTATCAGGGAAAATGATGTTTTTGATAAGATTAGGTTCCCTGCAAAATCGTCTTCTGTCACACGAATATGATTCATGGTAATTTATTAGAGTCAAAGGGGAAAGAAATTGCTAGTGATTACTTTATGTTCCATTTGATTACAAATAATTTGATTTCTTTCTAGATGTACCATTGATGTATCTAAGTGACAATTTCTCCCTCTCTTCTTGTGCACATTGTATATTACTTGCACAGTTTCACAGCATCAGAAGTTTCTAGGTTTAACCGGGGGGGAAAAAACATGAAAATTGACTGAAATCCATCCAGTCGTTAAACTCGTCATTTTTTTGTTTTGACTCCTCATAGCCATTCTTCTTCGCATATACTCGAAAATCGACATAACAAATTGAACACGCCAAATCTAGCCAAGGAGCCTACTAACTTGAAGTGCATTGAAATAAAAAATTGAAGTTTTTCAAGAGTTTTTTAATTGAAAGTTTTAAGGTGCCGATTGGCATGGTAGTTCAACCGCTGCTTTATTATTTTTATTTTTTATTTTAAATTAATTTTTTTTTGTATTTTAAAATTGTTTTGGTGTATTGATGATAAAAATAAATTTTAAAAAATAAATAACTAATTATTTTAATATATTTTTAAATAAAATATTTTAAAAATAATTTTTATCACTGTTTCAAACACTTTGTGAAAACACTTTAATGGATTGTGTTCTAAAAATAAAATTTAAAATAAAATAACTAAATTAAAATTTTAAAGAGTTAAAAGGTCATGTAAGGGGTAAAAATTAAAAAAATTAAGCTAAATAAATAAAAATAATAAGTTGGGGTCATTTATGTGTTTTTCGAAAAGGAAGTTAGAGACAAAACTAAAGGAGCAACCTACTTGTTAGTTATATCTTTACTAATCTGCTATTGGATTTAGTTCATACTAAGATATGTTATTTTTCTTATTAGTCTCTATATTTTTGTTGTTGGGATCTTTGTAATTAGTTTTTATTTGAGAGAAATAGACCTCAAAAGTTTTTTTGAAAAAACACTATGCATGGTAATTACGTCGCCAAATGTTTTCTCTTTCTTACAGAGTTAGATCATGCTAACATTGGAATATGTGGTGAGATTATATTTTCTTTTGAGTCTAAACAATAAAGATTGGAAACAAACACTCCAACAAAAAGTTAACTTATTGTGAATAAAATATTGTTAATTTTAGATCAATTAGATTTATTCTCGATCTATGAAAATCTCACCATTTAGTTTTTCTAATTTTTGGATTTGTGCTGAAAAATATTATAGTGCATAGTTTCATTATTGAGTTAGATTGACTCTTTTTTGGTTAAGGGTTATTGTCATATGAACTTTCTATTTAGTTTTATGTGTACTGTTACAACTCATCTATTTAGATTATTATATCAACTATGTATTATTACTCCATCATTAAAATTCATCATTTTTCTTTGGATTATAAGGTAGTAAACCTTTCATAGCCATAACCATTTATTGTGGAACTTTTACATGTTATATATTTTTTTAAATTATTAATATGTTGTAAATGTTGAGTCAGACTTCATGAAAGTGTTGATAAATGAATTGATGATGATTTAATGTTTAGATGTATGAAAAAGTAGTGAATAATAATTTAATTTGTTATGTTTGAATGTATTGTAATGTTTTGAGATTTTCAATATAGATAAATATGTGATTTTTTTTCATGATAGGGTTTTTAGATTGTTGGAATTGTGATTGAATGTTGTTATGGTACATGAATAAACAATGAATCAATCTCAAATTAATGAATTATATGAGAATATATTTTATGTTATATTAAGGTTTTATTTGGTGTAACGTAAGTTGAGGTTTTTGAAAATTAAAACTTTAAATTAGAAATTAGGTGGTTTAATGATGTTTAAGGTCATGTGAACAGATTAAGTAATGAGTTAATTGAGTAAATTAAAAAGAGAAAATTTATATTTTTATTTCTTTAGAATTTCAACAATATGAACATAAAATAACTAAAGGAAAGAATTGTTGTTGTGGAATCTTGGTTATAATATATTAGTGTAACTAATTGATGATTAGGTAAAGAGTTAATACTGTAACCAATTTTTTTTTTTCACAATTAACTCGTTATCCAATTATATTAACACATTCTAACAAATATTCTATAACAATAATTTTTTTCCTTATTGCTGAAATCTTAAAAAAATAAAAAGATAAATTTTTAATTTTTAATTTACTCAATTAACTTACTACTTAATTTGTTCATTTGACCTTAAACATCATTAAACTTTAATTCTCAAAAACTTTAACTTCACACTAAATAAAACCTTAATATGACATAAATAAAATTCTTATATAATTCATCATATTAAGACTTGACTGATAATTTATTTATGTACCATAATAACACTTAATTACAATTTCAACAATATATACACCCTATCATGAAAAAACAAAATCACACTTTCATCATTATTAAAAACCTTAAAACATCACAATATATTTAAACATAACAAACTAAATGGTTATCCCTTACTTTTTCACACATTCAAACACTAAACCATTATCAATTCTTCGTCAATACTTTCACTAGGTTTGACTCAACATTTACAACATATAAACAATTTTAAAAATAAATAACATGTAAAAATTACATAATTAATTGTTATAAAGGTCCTTACCGCCTTGTAACCCAAATAATGATGGATTTAAATGTTAGAGTAACAGGATATAGTAATGATGTTGAAATAATAGCCCAAATAGCAACAAAATGAGTTGTAACAATACACACAAAACTGAATAGTAAGTTTTGATGGCAATAACTCCTAATTAAATAAGAGTCAATCTAAACCCAACGGTGAAACCATGCACCATAATAATTGGCAACACACACCTAAAATTTTTAAAAATTAAACGGTTCAATCTTTGTAGATCGAGAATAAACCAAAATGACTTGAAATTGATGGCATTCTATTCACGATAAGTTAATTTCTTGTCGGAGTTTTTGTTTTTGATCTTCAACATAGAAAAGAAAATCAAAAGGATATATAATCTCACCACATATTTCAAATTTAGCATGATCTAACGGTTTAAAAAGAAGAAAAAGTCTTACAACTCTAGATATCATGTATAATGTTTTTCTAGAAAATATTTGATGGTAAATATAGGTTGTCCCTTTTGGTTTTCTCTCCAACTTCTCTCTAGATATAGAAATGACACCCACTTATCTTTTTTTTTTTTTTTTCCATCTAGCTTAATTTTTTATGTGACTTTTAATCCTATTGAACTTCACCTCTTACGTAACCTTTTAACTCTTTTAAATTTTAACTTGGTCATTTTATTTTAACTCTCACCAAATAAAATCTTGGCTAGGATTTTATTACAACCACTATAATCATCATGATAAATAAAAAATTATACTAGGTTTTATTAAAATAGATGACACGTTCCGCTCCATCTCCTATAAAAAAATTAAAGGGCCCAAACTTGCTGGTATAACTTGTTAGGTCCAATAATATTTGATTTTTTTTTTCTTTTAAATTAATTTTTTTCACATCTTTTTATTTTTTTTCAAAATGATTTTTTTAATTTATATTTAAATTAATATCCATTCTCTCTTTTATTTTGTTTATTTAGCATGTTTTAAGTTTTTAGCCAATACGTATACATTTAGTTTTTAAAAAGATTATTTTAATTCATCTATAATTTTTTTTTTATGTTGTGTATAAATAGAAAATATTTATTTTTGGATAATATTTCTAATATGTGTAACCTTATATAATATTTTTTCTTTCTTTTTTCTTATAAAATCAATTTTATTTGTGTATATTTTTATTATCATTTGATTAAATAAAAATTTAATTTTGGTAAATAAAGTCATTAAACACAATAAGGTCAAATGACCATGTTACGAAGTTAAATATCTTGATTTATGTATATTTTATTTTTTTTTCTTTTTAATCATCATTTATTATTAATAAATTTTTTATTAACACATATAATTCTTAATTTATTTGATTATATATATACATAAGTTTTTTGATTTATACTTAAAAAAAATTCAATGTACAAAAACATGTTGAAAAAACTTACACATACAATTTTCATTTTAGAAAAAAAAAAAGAGACTATTTCATGTTGAATACATATAGTCAATTGGATTTCAATCCTCGTAAGGCATGGTAAAAATTAACATTCTGTTTATTTTTACATTTTAAAAATATTTTTTATTTTATTTTAAATTATTTTAATAAATTTTGAAAAATATAAATATATATATATATATATATATTTAATCAAAAATACTTTTAAAAAATAACAACTCAAATATTAAACATGTTTTAAAAACGGACCAGGAGATGGCATGCGCGTGAAGGAACACTGGGCGAAGGGTTGGGGTACCGTGCCACCACCACCCACGATCCTTACCACACACCCTTTCTTCTCGCTTTAAAATCCTTTCTTTTTTGTTTTGTTCTCTAATCTCTTTCATATAAAAAAAATAAATAATAAGGAGCACAAGAACACGCCACATTCTCCTCTTCTCTAGAGAATGAGCAAGGAGAAACCAGAGACCCTTTTTATTCATCTTTTCCTTTTTTAGCCAAAAAAATTCAATCTATCCCTGTATATAAAATCTAATTAATTAACTAACTGTTATTAACGATGGGAAAAAAGAGAAAATCCATAGCAACAAGCCTGGAAGAGGTGGATCGGACCATGTACGCTTCGTTTTGCAGTGCTGCAAACTCTCTGTCTCAGCTTTACACACAGTCCATGAACCACCAAAAACTCTCTTTCCAAGCCGGTGAACGTCATGGTCTTGTAAGATTCCCTCTTTATCTCTTTGATTTATTGAATATCTGTTTGTATATGCGCTTGTTTTGTGGGTATATGTGCTTGTTTTTGGTGTGGTTGTTTTCTTTTATGGAAAAGTTATTGTTTTTTATCAATCAAGCTCGTACCATTTTCATTTCCTTTTGTTGGTTCACTGATTATTTTTTTTTTTATTGCTAGTCTAGTTCAGGGGTTACCCCTTTCGATTTTTTGGTGTAAACTTACATGGGTGGTTTGATTCTGGTTGATTTGGGAAGTTTATGGCTGGATGGATACATTATGTGGTTTTGTTATTGGATTCACATTGGAGTTGTCTGTTAATTTATTTATTTTTATTTTTTTGTTAATTGGCGTTTTTAATTATCATTGCAGTTGAATGTAGTACTTTACTTTTCACTTTTTTCTGAGTGGCTTGCGCTTTGAATGGTTATAATAGATTGGCGTTATAATTGACTGTTGAGGAGGTAGATTTGTTGAAGCATCAATTTTTTAAACATTCCCATTTAAGGAAGCAAGCGGGATTTGAGTATTTTGATACCTTGTGTGATGGAGAAACAATAGAATCATGGCTCGTTTGCCTTGGAAAAGAAGGTTTTAGTCTTTAAGGGACTTCGCTTTTAAATTGGAGTTGTTGGAGTACCTTTTCTCTTGGATTATGAATTTGTAAATATGTGCTAATGGCCGTGTAATACTTGTAAATGGAAGAGTTTTGTTGTGAACCTAGAAACAAGCTCGTAAACTTCTGATAGTTTCAATTTGTAGACGGTAATCTAGTTGATTGGTGGTGTAGAAGGTCACCCTTGTTTCCAAGTGGTTGTGTCAAGTGATACTTTGATGTTGACAAACAGTTGCTTTGCAGGAATAACAGTTTTGAATTTGATTTATGTGAGTGAGAGACATGAAATGGTGGCTCAGTACTTTAACAAGACAAAATAGATAGTTTTTATGGAATGTGTTTTCCAATTAATTAAGGGGATGAGTCAGTTAGAAAGCCAGGATAGGGACTAGAAAGAAAAGCATATTCCTATAAAAGCCAGCATAAGGATTAGAAAGAAAAGCATATTCCTATAATTTTGGATCAATGGGTTTCAAAGAGATAGACTTTTCAGTACTCTGAAAGTTAAAAGTAAAGTAAGTCTAGTTGGGATGGAACTGGTCTGTCTTGGGAAGATTGGTGAAGCTGAAAATGTAGTTCTCTTGTTGATTGGCTCTGGCCTGAAGATTGAACATGTTTTCTCAGTCTTGGATGACAGCTACTCATTGATTATTTGATAGTCAACAAAAAGTTTATGGAAGAGCTCGAGGTGAAAATTTGAACTATAATTTCTGTGGGGGTGAAGCTAAATGGTGGCATAAGATAAAGGTATCAAAGAAATATAAATATTTGAAATTCAAACAAATCTGTCATGGTTTTCATTTTGTACTTTGCCTTTTTACACATGTTTTTAAAGTGCAACCTTTCCACTTTTCATGTAGAAGTTTAAAATCATTTTTCCTATAGCATAATCGTGAGGCTGGCTACTTCTAAGTTCAGGGAATGGGATCGCCTTCTTCAATTTGGTTAAGCACCTGCTTGTTAGAGCAGTATAATATATTAATCAGTAAAACCAGTAAAGATGGTCCTTCTCTGCATGTATCACTGGGTATGCATTCTGTGGTGATTCTAGTGAGATGTTAAGACTGCAAACTTTTTTCTCATGTTAACCATACACCTCCATTTATCATCGCATTCTCCAGTGTCTAGGCCTTTTCCCCATTTCTCATGCATCTCAAGTTGTGGAGCATGAGCTCATAAATAAATTTCTGTTTGTATAACTCAATAAATACAGATATGATTTTGGCATACATAGGGCGTTTGCTAAGAATACTGACTGTGAACAAGCTTTGAAGTAGTCCTGAGCTGGGTATTCCTTATCTGAGAGTGGTTACGGAGCTTGGTGGTGGTTTTGGTTCAAAACTAAAACGTTTTGCTGTGTTTGAGATTATATCAGAGTGTTTCATGTTAAAAATTACAGACGAAAATGACTGATTGGTTATGAAAATGATTTGTAGGGCAATTGGTTGGTCAGTTTTGGTTTTGCATTTAAATTTGTTTTGTTCTTTTCAACTTAAGATAGTCTCTTCAGTTCAGTATGAAATTTCACAAAATAAATGCAGTTAACATGAAGAACAATGGACTTTCCTTCCAAAACAGCCTGCTGCTCTTGTTCACCTGCAGAGTATAAGAGACAATGGGACAGCACCATGAGAAACTCTAAAATGAAGAATAAAAGATTTGTATGCCATTCCCGATACCTGCTCAAAACACACCCTGCTACTCATTACAATTTTTCTTTCATTAGAACCTACAGAATAACTCAAAACACGTGATCTTGACCTTGCTCCTATTCTTTTGATGCTTTTAGCTTCCAAATTGGAAGATTATCTCTTGTTGAATGCCGTATAAGCAGTCACATCACATATATACTCTCAGCCAGACTTATCTACTGACCTTGATTGATGTCTTTCAAGCTTAGTTATCTTGTTGAATTTGCTTATTTAGCCGGGTCATATTGTTTTCAGGAAAAACTTTATCAATGGATTTGGAGACAACAAGAGGGAGGATCTCGGGTGACAACATTTGATATAATCAATTACATACAGGTTCATGTCAATTATTCTTCTTGCCGGATCTATTTCAATCTACTGTCTCTGTGTGTGTACTGACATACAACACACACCATATGCTTGCTTCTTGTGTTTGTGCAAATGTATTGATACTTCCTTAGCAATGAAACCACGGTTGGATATATGAAATATCTATGTAAAGTCAAATTCATACTCTTCTTGGAATTAATTGTTCATTATGATACAGAGAACATCATATATAACATGGAAATCTTACTTATATTGTGGTACATTAAGATGAACATTATTGTCAAGTGTCCAAAATATTTCTTATAACTGCCTTCCATTTTTTCTTTGCCTTATTAGACATTAACCATGTTCTAGCCACCTGAACACTGTAGATCCTTTTTATTCGGGCATTGTTTGCTAACACAACGTAAAAGATAACTTTATGAACTTGATTGTCAATTAAATAGTAATCTCCAGTCACCTGAACATGTAAAACCTTCTTATTTGAGCACTGGTGTAACAGAGATATTTCTCTACACAGAGCTATCAGATAAATATTGATGCGTGCCTGTTAGGCTTGGCTTAATTGTCTTTTCCTTATTCCTTATCTTTTGGTTTTGCTGGTTTTATATTCTTCTCTCGATTCACATGTATGTAGGTGTGCTTGCACATGTTATGAGTCACTAAGACAGTTATATGTTAGATATGTTGAGTCACTAAGACAGTTATATGTTAGATATGTTGTTTAGCCGAGATCTGAAATGAAGTGGATTTTGCTCATGTGTATTGATAATAACTTGATTGTATCTAAATTGAGTGATGCTGTGGTCATGATGCAGAATGAATTGGACTATTGTGGAGAAGAACCATCAGTGTCTCCTAGAACGCCACACCAACATCAGAGTTCCCAACCTATTCCATTCACAAATTCCACCTTTCTAGTTTCTTCGGGGTCATCTGGCCTGGCAGCTTCTGGTCAGGGCACTCGCTCTGAACAATGTGATCAACAATCTAAGAATACAGTTTTCTCAAATGCTTTGTCAAGCCCTGTTCGCAGGAGTCTCCAGAACTATCACATTGCTCAGGGAGGCTACTGTCCACCTGGTGGTTCACCGTCAGGAAATGGAACCCGCGCCAATGAGCCCAACTTTCTTCAAAATCATAATAGGGATCCTAATCTTCCCAGTTCCAATGATTCCTCGATGGACATCTAAGATAGCAGGTCTTGCAAGCTTCTTTCCATGCTTTGGTTAAAGGATCTGGATGGCTGTTGCAGTTGTGTTGCTGTTTAGGTTGTTCCTGATCTTCTTAGGAAGAAAGCACATGGAATGGTTAGTCCATACAAGAATAATCACTTTATGCTGTTAAATTGTGAAGCGTGTGAAGAAGAAAGGCTTAGTGGGTGAGTTCTCATGGAGCAGAATGCTTATATAATGAGCACCATAACCTATCATTTTATCCTTTTCGTTGTCCTTTTAAAATGGTAAATTTGGTTTATGTTTTATGTAAAGTGCTTTGTTGAATTGATTATACTACCTATAAATTAATTTGTATTAGCTGTTGCATTGTCCTCTGTTATTTTGTTTTTCATGTTGTTCAGGTTTATTAGGATGTGTTTGATAAATGATCATTTCAGAAAGGTGTAGTATGAGGCCTCCATGGTCTTACTTTCAGAACGTGATATCCTATTGAAGCTTGAACTAAAATGCAAATAAGAAGATAGTCTGAAGCAATGATGCCATCAAGGAGTTCGTAAGAAAAGTTATGAACTATTTAAATAAGGGAGCTGCTTGAAAAAGTCTTTAAATCATATTAACTAGCGTAGAGTGAAAATCTCTGTCGGCATCTCGTTTCGAACTGCAAATTTATTTATTTTTAATTTTTTCGTTTCACCTCCAGAACTGTTATCGATTATAATTATCAACCTAATTAAAAAATTTGGGGCGAACCACCTTAATTTTGTTCTTTTTTTCATTCGAAGGGTATTTTTAGTCGTTTTCTTTTTCTTTTTTTCAAGCCTTTTTTTTAATAAAATTAGGTACTTTTGCTTCTCATTTAACGAACCTCAATCTTTTTATTTTGCTTATTTAGTGGTTCATTTTATTTCTAATTTAAAGTTGTTTTGTTTTGTAAAAATAATAGTTGGTATATCATGAAATATTATTTGAAATCATAAACATGCGAGATAAAAGAAATGTACAAAAAATAATGAAAATAGAACATATAAAAAAATATAATTTATAGTGGGTTGTGTTTTTTTCTTTTCCTTTATCTTTTTTTCACTTGACCTTTTTTTTTAATTTATTCATTGAACTTGATGTTTTATTTTAGTTAGTTTTATATAGGGCAATCACAATGTTAATAATAAGTTTTGATTTTAAATTTATACTCGATTTGATAAAATAAAATTTTATTTTATTGATTCAAATAAATTAAAATTTTCAGATTCAATTTCAAACTAAAACAAATATTTTATCTTAAAAAATAATATCTTTATTTTAATTTCCTACTTAAGTTTTGATTATGATTAACAAATTTATTATTATTTATTAATATATATAATCAACAATTTATTTTATTAAATATACCTATAAACTTTTTAGCTTGCAGTAAAGTTCTTCTCGATGGTTAAAAATAATTAACAATACCAATTTCTTTTTTTTGTTGAAAAAAATAATAGTTTATCCCACAACATGTCATGGAGAATTAAATAGAAGAAGTAAGATCAGCTAGTCCTCGTCATTCCTTAGATTATGGCATGGCCCATCATCGCCCAGTTTCATGCCTTCAAAATCAGCATTACATGGTGCCCAAGGTATCTTGCACCTCAACTTAATTATTAGAAGTGCTAATTATTAAAAAATAAAAAAAATGGATTAGGATTTTATTGTTCGCACGAATTTATTAAACTGTGGATTTAACAAGTTTAAAAATATAATTTTTTATAATATTTATTAATCATTATTAAAATAATTAACAACAACACAATCTTTTTATATTTTTAAATTACAGTAAAATTATTAAATTATTTTTAAAATTAAAATGTATTTAACTAATATTCAGGGGCTTTTTCAATTTTTAATTTTTTAAGAATAATAAAATAATTATATTACTCTTAAAATTAAAAAAAAAATTAACTAGGATATAAAATTTTTCATATTTTGATTTTGATTTTTTTAGTTATAATCAAGTTAATTGAGTAATAATTTAATATTTTAATAAATATAAAATATTATTCAAAAACTAAACGTGGATTGCATTACAAGGTGTTTAATATTATTCAAGATGGTCTTGATGGTATTGAAATTATCTTAGTATCCTCTCTTTTCTTAGGTGCTTTATATAGTTTATTGACCTCTGGTTGGTTCTAATTATCTTTTTGTTTTTTATTTGTCTTTTTTATTTTTTTTCTTGTTTTTTGTGACTAATCTTCAACTATTTTTTTATTAGATTTGATTTTTATTTTTTAATTAATATTTTTTTTAATTTCATTTTCAATATTAAATTTGGTTGAAAATTGAGCTTTTCAATTGCGTTTAGGTCTAAAATTTCACAAATTACTAATTTAAGAGATTAACTCATATTTAGGAAATTTATTTGGATTTTTTTTTTTTGCCTTTATAAGCTTATGTTTGTTTAGTTTTATCCTTTAACATTTATTTATTTGGAGATCAAGCTCCATTATTTTTTTTATTTGTTTTTTATAGAATGTTTCACTAATTTTAAAAATAATATGGGTTATTTCGAGTTTTTTATTAAATTAAATTAAATTAATTAATTAATTATAAACATGAGACTGACTTATAATATGTTATTTCACTTGCTTTATGGGTCAATGTAATAATAACCCGTGTGATATGTTGTGCAATCTTTTTTAGTAACATTAAAACCGTTTCAAGAAGCTTTTGGGTGGTGGAGTGGTGTCTTTAACATAGCGTTGATGAGTGTATAATAATTTTTTTCTTCTTCTCTTACTAAGTATAATATTGAGAGCTTATTGTTTATAGTTAATTATTACTTTTCTTTTAATTTTATTTATTATTAATATAAATTATTGAACACAACCAAATCATTAATCTAGATTTCAGATTTTTCTAACTTCTTTATAAATAATTGTATCGCCTGAAAAAAAAAATTAAACTTAGAAAAAAATTTAACCCTGCAGGTATCTTCTTCCGCTACAAGAACTCGTCGATGCTTGTTTGGTGAGTCCCCAGAGTACATAGTTCAAGCTGCAATAATACCTCGAGTTGTATTTTGTACCACCACTCAGAAACAAACAAATAACGTAGCAGAAGAAGATATGAACCTTCTGATTGCTGCCAGAGTAGCGTAGCTGCTTGAGCAGAAGCGTCAGGCGCGATTTGTAATCTTATACCAGACAATGATCATGGGGTCCAAAGTCATTCCAATCCCACATGCTCAAGCCTCTCCTTGCATTGGCTTGACAAGAAATGAATATGTAGCTTAGCTACCAGCAATATCACTCGCTCTCATAATCAGTTCCTCCGTTAAGGAATCCCACGCAACTTGTTAACCTTGCATTAGAAAATGATTGATGTTTCTGTTTCCTCGATCTAGTTTTATCTCTGCAATTCCTGGACTCCTCGGCTGTAGATAAAGGTGTTGTTGGTTACATGACCCACAACTCGTCTTTTTTTGTCAAAAGCACATCCACAAATCACTTTAAGAGACTTCAATTTGATCTAAAATTTGAGAAGACAGATGAAGAGAAATATGCTATACAACTTTTTGACCACTCCATCAATCATTGATCCAACAAGATTGGCTTTTAACAATTATCACAACCACCATTGCATCACCAAAGGTGCGTTACCAAAGGCATAGTCCATGCTTAACAGTTTATTGTAGGGTTTGCATTGCAATTAGTATGCTAGCTAGTGTAGCATTATGCTTTTGAGTGCTTGTTGACGAACACGCGTTTCCTATAGAGTTTATCATATTCCAACTTTAGGCGCTAATCACATCCAATATTATCTAAATTATGAAATCTAAATCTGATCCCCGGACCCAGATTTATATACAGAATTGATAAAGCTGGTTTTAGGGCATTTCTTTTATAGGGAGAAATCTTTTGACAACACAAAGAAAGGTATCTGGTTAAATACCTAGAATGCTAGGTTATGGATGTTTTGACCTGGAAGAATAGAACCTACAAAAAGAATACCATGGCCACAGTCACGCAAGAAAGTGGAATAAGAGGGTAACAAGAGGCTAAATTAAAGAATGTCTCGGTGAAGATTATCGAAGAACTTCCAAGGCCACAAGTTTATTCTTAGAAGAACTTATTGATTGATCCTTTATTCCCAGTGGGAATCCCACATGAAGAATAGAACGTAGATAATTCCATGTTCGACTAATCTGATTCAATCTAGCATATTTTCATCATTTGCACATCTTGCGTTCCCCCAGCTGCTTTACCAAGCAAACGTATATCCACTTCAAAAAGACTGGATATACTGTCCCCAACATGAGAATGAAAAACCAGCAAAATTATCGTAGAAATATGTTACCAAACAGTACTCCTCTCCATAGTGGAGTGGAATCTGAATATGGCCAAAGCTTTATTGCCTGTGTGAGAAGTTTACCACGGGCTTCATTTACTGCCTTGTTTTCTGTCTGACCCTTTCCTTTCAACAAGAAAGTCGCGTTTGCCTTTCACGGGAATCCAGCATTTATTTGGAAGTTACAAGTTACCTTCTGATAAAGGTGGTGGTCCTCTTCCATGCATTAAAGTAACAATGTTTTTGCTTTGAGAGGTGGCTGTACTACTTTCTGCACAGCCCATTGACCTTTTATTATTTCTTGTAATAATGAACTTGAGACCTTTTCGGGTGCAGCCGTGACCATCAAATTTATAAAAATATCCTTGAAAAATATATTGTGATCAATTTACTTTCACTCGTTGTAGAAAAATATATTTGATTTCAATGGGTGGTATCAGATTTATAATACCCTGAGAATTTAATAGAAGATGCCAAGATTATCCTTTGATGAATAATTACAAGTGACAATGGTTGAGGGGCAATAATTAATTATGATGTTTCTCACAAATTGGCAAATATATATGAATAAAACAATAATAATAACTAAAATAATATAATTAATCAGGCTTTTTATTATATTTTTTATTATTAATTAAATAATGGTGAATATATTAGTAATTACATAATAATTTTGAGAATAAAAAGAAAACAAAACTCTAGGGAACTTATATTCTATTTTGTCTAACATTAAAACCTATATAAAAAGAAGGAGAGGAAGATCAAGGAGGATATTTAAATCACCACCAAAGTCTTTGTTTTTTTTATTAATTTAAAGTGTATGTTTTTTATATTCTATTTTGATTTTTAATCACTTTTAAGGAATGATGGATACTAATAGAGTGTTATATTGATAGGAAGTCATTAGTGATTTTACATTTTTTTTATAGAATAATTTGAAGTGATAGTGACATAAAAAAAAAATAGATGATGAGTTGATAATTTTAGGTCATCAAAAATTGATATTTTGATAAGCATTACGGTCGAAATTTGATACCTAGTTATAATATGTTG